TTTAAGCGACATACACCGGTATTGCGGTATTTTAAAAATTCATATCATAACAAAAAATAAACACCGGTAATCGGTATGAACCGGTATACCGCCCAGCACTAATTCAAGCATACAAAAAATGAGACATCAACCAGTAAGAATTTAATGAACATGTAATACAGTGCATATATTTATCAAAATGTGTCAATCAGTAAGCGACAGGCTCTGCCGCTCACTGCACAGAACAGACGGTGACACTTCTCCGGGAAAGTCAGACCTCGCGTTGGCGGGACAGCACTGGCGAAATCTTCCAACTGAACCATAGCTAAGGTTTATCCCCTCACTAGATATATTTCTTTCTAAGTTAGTTGACTAATGACTAATAATATGCCGTTTCATTTCAAAATAAAATTGACAGAGCTCGGACTTTGTTTCAAAAGTAACAAAGCACAAAGTTCATTGTGATTATTGGATGGCAGATGTGCTAAAAATAACGTTTAGTGAATAAACAGAATGGACTAAAAGAACGATTCTAGGGATTTAAGAGCTGATGTCGGCTCGGCTCATCAAAATAAATACTGATTCAAATGGATAGTGTCATCCAAGCTCTAATATACTATATATTCTACATTGTAAAAGTCTGTCATTGGCCCTAACTACAAAATCAAAACTTGCATTCAAGTTGAAAATAAAAAAATCCATCCACAACACAACACAACAAAAACCATCCAATTCAGATTACTTGGCGTCAGCAAACATGGCAGCACGTGCAAAGTTCAAACCAACAAAATGCTCTTACAGCCCTCACTGACCAGCTGACTGAATATTGCTGGGCTGTCATAAAATACCCCAGCCCCCCTTTAACGCCCCGGCCCGCAGTGTCAGTACACCCAAACACTCACTAGAAACAGACCAACAATAGCTGCACTGTGACTAGACAACACAACACCCACTGAGACAGATCGCTCAACAGCAGGAGGATACTCGTAAAGTCTGGACTTACTGCTGACAGGTCATAGGGCAGAGTGACATTATAAATGACCCATTAGGTTTGACGGCTACAAATTTGAAATGTAAAGGATATGAATAATCTGAACAGCTTTAAAGGTAAAATGACTGCAGGTCTCTGCAAACTGGTGTACATGTTACACACTCCCTCTCACACACATTTACTGTAATGAGGCCAGTAAGAATTGTGTTAATGATTATGTTTTGTTTGCCTTTAAATAGAATGCTTAAATATAGTTTACTAGTATGTTGAATCTGGGTTTAGTTTTTTTCTGAGGGAAATACCAATGCTTGAAAAGCAGCAAAAGAATATGAATTAAAAAAAAAAAAGCCAGAAAAATGGGAGTCACAAGGAAAGAGTTCTAGCTGACATCAGGAGCAAGACAGTTCCTACATTTTTAATGGCATAAAAAATGGTAAAATCATTTAAAATTCTAGTTTAGAACACATGTGCTAAATTCTTAGAACGTACTCTTTCATGTTTGTTGCAATTGGTTTTTGAAAAACTCTAAGGAAAGTTTCAGTTTAATGACTCTAAAAATGCAATGTGGTGTAACCATCAAGTAAAACGGTGTAATACATATTTTTATTTTTATTTACACCTTGAATACATGCAAGTGAACATATCTCATCATTTTCACTTTTTAAGTAACATCTTTACAAATATCATGAATTATTAATTCATAAATATCATTGTTGTTGTTTTTGTAAGGAGTCAAACTATTTTATATGTCATTTTACAACTTGAACTAAGCTTGTGTCATAACAAGGTAAAATTATCTGACAATTTAAAGTTTGAGTCTCCATGACATAATTTCAATTTTATGCTTGTTTTTTGTTTTTTTCCTGCATGTTAGTTGCACCACATGACATGACTTGGCAGACAAAAAGCCGTATGTTCATTTTTTTTTCTCTAAATGGACTTTAATTCAGCAATTAAAACATGTTCATCTTCATCATATATTTAAATGAATAGGTGTATTCATATAATTGCATGTATGAATAAGCATTTCAATTTTACGTTTAGGATAAAATGGTGTGAGTTCAGTTTAATTAGTGTTCTCACCTTGAAAATGAGTCAATGACTTGTCAAGTGTGAGGTTCAGAGACAGACAGCCTGGGATATACAATTCAAGCCATTGACATCTATAAAGAGAAACCAAATCAAGTAACACATTAATGAGTAACATTTACTGTTTTTGCAGTAAAAAGCACCTTCTCTCTTTTTTTAAGCTAGAAGCAAAGGCAGTGTGCTGATCTGAGCATTACTCTGATCACATCTTCCTCTTTGTGCAAATCAACTACGCAATTCAAAGTTCACACAGTGACCTGGCAACCTCAAACCTCCGTGTGTCAGATCAGATCACTCTTCTAAAACTTCCTCTTTAAAACAGGAACACTTGTGTTCACCAAAACCGATCGTGCAGCAGAAAAGCAAAACCAGCACGAGCACATAAACGCCTCACAATTACTACATAACTGAAATTATTCCGTATATACAAGCATCGTATCAGGACTCTATACAGCTAAGATTACATGTATAGCCATTTAAAGTGTAGTATCAGGATTACATAAAGTTCACACATAATAAAGTATTCGCATATTAGAGTATTGGGACAGTTTCACACTGAGCTGAACGAGTTCAAAGGCGAAAAGTAGTGGCGAAGTTGACATTAAAGTGTTTAAAACTCAGCAAATTCTAAAGAGATATATTAATGAGAGTGAAAGTAAAAGATAGATAGAGGTTGTTTAATTTCTACTCTCTTAATTCAGCCGAAAGGACGTCGTTAAACTCACCTCTAATGAAACGAAGAGAAGCGCTCGCAAACCGCAGCCGCAGAAATGTCCAAAACTCTGAACTGAGCTCCCCCCGAACAATTTGAGGAATCAGGAAGAGACTTTATAAGCAAATCACCCGCTTTTAATGTAATGGTTGAACTTGGACGAGCTCCACACAGCTTTGGTGTTTTGGATGAACTTCGGCAACTGTTTGTTCGCGAGCTAGAGTCGTTAGCAGGAGCGCGAGCAACACGTCGACTAGTTCAAAACACGAGAACGCGCACGTCGGACATCAAGGCGGTTGACGCAGTCGTTGAGTTCTGAATCACTGGCCATTAAACAGAAATTAAATGAGTATAAGTTGGTTGTTTTTGTGAATTCTCTGTAAAAATAAGTTTAAAGAAAGAAATATATTAAACTTCCTCAAGGAGGAACTTGACGGCTCAGAAACAGACTGCTGTCTCTCTCTCTCTTGTATACTAACGTATGAACACTAAAACGTATAATGTATTAAATATATCAACAAGTTACCTACTTCTTAATTCCAGGTTAATCTCAACCGACTGTGATTGGTCCATCCTGACTAGCGCTGAGAAAAATAATCGGTATCACATGATCTACAGCTGTAAAGTCTTTCACATATAAACAACGATTCTGAAAATTGTTATATCAGTTGAATTTTAAACATCGTGCCTTACCGCATTAATATTTGATACATAGTAAAAAATATAATAACGAACTCAAAATAATAAATAAATCAGTTTTATTTTCTCACCATATGCTTTGTCATCATTTATATTTTTCTCTCATATCCTTAATTTCCATCTTGATTAGCCTTATGACATCCCTAACAGTTCTTGAACCACATAAAGTGATACAACTTTTTTGGTGGGAAGACAAAAGCACAAATATCAGTAGGATAAGTATTAGCAATGGATTTGACTAACTTAACTTTATTTTCATCTTCTGTGTGTGTGTGTGTGTGTGTGTGTGTGTAAATAACAACTTGTAACTATTAAAGTTGAAATATATATTAATATGGGCAACTGTGAATGTTGCATATATTAGAAATGACCCATTAGAAGCAACGTCCATTCCAGAACTCATTGCATAGACGGCACATTTTCTGTGATCCGAGAAAGAATTCTATCTGATCTAAATTCACTAAGGCAATAGACAGCGACCTCTGCTGAAATAAAACAAATTATGTGCATGGGATTGCGCATGAACTAAATGAAACCCCCAAGATTGCATAATAAATTGACTGTGGAGAACCTTGTTTTGTTACCTTTGCTCCAGTGCTAGATGATCTTTTATCAAGCACTCAAGTTCATAATCACAGTAGAGTTCAGTATGTAAAGTAGTGAAACAACTGACTGTATCAATTAGATACTAGCATTAATAGCCCATATATAAATATATTAACCCTTGTTTCCTCGTTCACTTCCAACTAAAGCTTGTAGGAGACTCAATAAAGTCGCTACAGATTTAAATAAGCTTCATTCTTTCACACCACAGACATGTTGCTCCAGTGTCAAAGTTGATCTATTTAGGTGCATTACTTTCACTGTAGGCCTACATGTAAAAGAAAAACATATCCAACGGTGGATCTTGCAAAAGACTTCCAGGTCATATTTCACCCCAAAACCCAAATGGGTGAAAAATGTACTTTGCAGAACTCAATTTGCATTGAGACATTATTTTCATGAAAACTCGAAACACTCCAATATTGCTATTAATGTGAGAAAAATAAATTTGATTTCATATGATTTCAAATGTAAGTATTTACATTCAGGCAGTATTTTGACATACCCACAAAATGGATAAACATACTGTGGAAGTCGGTTACCAACATTCTTCAAATACCTTCTTTTGTGTTCAACAGAAGGAAGAAACTCATACAGGTTTGGAACACGCAGAGAGCGACTATAAATGATAACAATTTTCATTTTTTGGTGAATCACCCCCTGAACTGTCCCAAACGCTGTCTCCTTGCGTGTAGATCATGACACCCCAAAGCCAGGGTCTCCTCTTCAAATCTTTTATTCTTTACATACGCAAAACAATCACTCATCACGTGTCTCCTATGTTGAGAATAAAGACTTCACGTGTTAACCCAACAGAAATAAGACTTTGTGTCTTGCAATGACAAGTTCTGTTACCTTGTTCTTGAAGCTTGCGACACAACTCCGGCGTGAAACCAACTGCCAGGTCGAATTTTTGCACAATTTTTTTTGTCCTTCAAATGACTCCAACACCATATAGCTTCCCAGGACACAGGATAAATTCATCCCGTTATCCTATGTCAACACATTCATTTCAAACACTAAGATCATACAATTTATTGCCATAAACAGTGTAGGAAAATGAAAAGAAAAACAAAAGAATAAAAACAGCTGACCTCCATTATACAGTAAGAAAAAAAAACGAACTTCCTCATTTATATCCAGTAAAATGTGAAGAGAAGGATTTCCCATGAGGACTCTACACTCGATGAAACTACAGCAGCGCCTGGCGTCACCGGCGTGTCTGGAAATGTGTAAGCAGTTCATTTTTGTTCAATTAGCTTCATATGGAAAGGCAGTACTGATGCTGTTACGGATCATAGTTTCTACTATTGTTTTTTCGCGTGAAAAGAAATACACTGCCGTCAAGCTGTGAATGTCGCTGTAGACTGTAGACCCATGTGTCACCAACCAAACCTATCATGCATACTCTTCTAAATGAATGAAACATGTGGCACATTGTTCCCGAAAGCTCTGGATGAGCCAGGATTTGCTCAGGGTGGGAAAATCTTTCGTAAAGACAAGGCAAGAATTCAAAAACCTTTTCACTTTGAAATGGTTTAATTAAGAATCAAGCTCAACGTTTTAATCTTCAAATACAGTAAAGAAATCTAAAGAGCAAAATATAAAATGGACACGGCGGCAATTACGTCCGTGCGTCTACAAATTCGAAAAACACAAAAGATACTTTGGGAAGGGAAAGAGATGCTGAAGTCCTTAAACGCATTCAACCTGGAGATGCCATCCTCCAAGTTTTGGTTCTTTGAGGCGTGTGGGAGGAGCCAGCGAGGACAGGCAGAGGCGGAGTTAAGACTGTGCCCCTCCCCCTTTCTAGAGCCCCCACCTCCACTTGCTTTTTAAGCCAATCGGATGAGGGCTCGTTCAGATTCGAGAGAAGACCAGCACCTCGTGCCCCTGCCTGCGTGTCACTGAAGTCTTTGAAAGATTTTATGGTGATCAAAGCCAGTAGAATCCAGTATAGCCTTCCGGAATAATGCAGCCACACTGACACAGATACTAATTCTTTAGAGAACGGAAACATAAAACAAGAACAAGATGGTTACACAGGGTCCATTGAAGGAGTCGGTGAAATTTGCACATGAACATTCTGACAAAGCAATAGCAGGATCGATTCAACACAAGCGGGAAGATTGCGCTGGGTTGAAGATCTACCAAGTTCTCCGAAACCGAACACTGACTGTACAGCTGGACTACGTTGTGCTTTAACGCGCCAATTTACACGCACCGTGAGGACTAGGGAGAGGACAAGCACCACATGTACAATCCAGTGTGCGTTCGAAGGTTTGCGTATATGTGAGTCGGCTGAAATCGTGAGGGAGCTCGTGCCATTGCTGGAAATCACACCAAAGAGAAAAATCTTCATAGATGCAAGCCTTGGTCTCTGCGCTCTTTCCTCTGTGGAAAAAATGAGAAATCGAGACATTAGATGTTATTGTAGAATTTATGCAAGTGTCAAAAACATCATTTAAAGTCAACGTGAAATAATATCTGCAACCCTTTTTAGTCAATTGGGAATTGAAAATATAATTCATTGAAATAATGAATTGTCCACATCCACAAAACCAACCCTCTACACACACCTTGGCAACAGAATCGCCATTGGCTAATAAATGTTTAATATATATGGCAGATTTTTACAAAGATACATTCACATAGGAAAGCACAACTAAAAAAAATTATCAGCATTTCCTATGTTAGAACTAATGTGCTGGTAGTGTTTCAATCAGTGTTTCTGTAAAACAACAACAATAATACTATTAAAATACTACTACTAATTAGGGCTGTCAAAAAAAAAATTCTAATTTTGAATATTCGTCGAATTTAAAATAAAAATCCACATTCGAATGCAAAAACGTTGCATTCCAATTTTAGGCGTGCGTTAGGCCGTGGCGCACGAGATGCGATGACGATGTAAGTGTCGTTGCGTTATAATGTTTTTGTTAGCCTATCCAGTTGAAGCCACTAGATGCGGCGCTGCTGCGTTGTTCATTGAGTCGGTGAAATTTGCACATGAACATTCTGACAAAGCAATAGCAGGATCGATTCAACACAAGCGGGAAGATTGCGCTGGGTTGAAGATCTACCAAGTTCTCCGAAACCGAACACTGACTGTACAGCTGGACTACGTTGTGCTTTAACCTCAACTTACACGCACCGTGAGGACTCGGGAGAGGACAAGCACCACATGTACAATCCAGTGTGCGTTCGAAGGTTTGCGTATATGTGAGTCGGCTGAAATCGTGAGGGAGCTCGTGCCATTGCTGGAAATCACACCAAAGAGAAAAATCTTCATAGATGCAGTCCATCAAAAATCCAAAGAACAAAATACAAAACGATGGCAGTTCAAATCCAATAAACCTAATACTGCTTTTCGTGAACGCCATCATGAATGTCAACTGTCGAAACGCTAGCTAGCTGCCCCGCGAGAAAAGCGCACAAACCAAATCAGTGTCGTCATTATTCGCATGATAAAAGGGCTTGGCGTGTGTAGTTTAGTCTACAGCTACAAAACACAAACAAAAACATTTAAAATCAGTTTCCATTCCATTTAAGAGAGCAGCTCCAAAAAAAAAAAAAAACCTTTCGGATCTCACCAAGGATGTGAAAGAACTTTCCCCTGACGAAAACTACAGTAAAGAGCAGGCACTAATTACAGGGAAGCAAGGGTGGACATAAAACCATTGTTAAACAGTTTTGCCATGCATTCACGAGCTGCTCGTTGGTGTGCGCAAGTGTCATGACGATCGATCGATGTGGATGTGGTCTTACTGTAGATTTTTTTTCCATTGAATAAATATACGGTATAGTCGCGCGATCTGAATTCGCAGGGACTCCGTTCATCTCTAACAGGAAGGAATGACGACAGAGGCCTTATCGCATTCCCGTTGGCATGATACGTTTTTTCGTCGTCGTTTGTCATCCCCGGACCTCACCCATCCCTCCCCGAATATCCCTCCCTTTCTTTCTCTCCTCCCTCCCTTCCTTGCTTCCTTTTGGAGCGCCGAGGGAGGCTGCAGTCTCTTAGTGTTTGTCTTTGGGAATTACCTCCTCCCTGGGTTTGGCACCCCCAAAGATGGCCGAGTTGGGGTTGGCCACTTGGTTAAGGGGAGCTGCCACTGTACGCGGCTTCAGCTGTAGCCTTGGTCTCTGCGCTCTTTCCTCTGTGGAAAAAATGAGAAATCGAGACATTAGATGTTATTGTAGAATTTATGCAAGTGTCAAAAACATCATTTAAAGTCAACGTGAAATAATATCTGCAACCCTTTTTAGTCAATTGGGAATTGAAAATATAATTCATTGAAATAATGAATTGTCCACATCCACAAAACCAACCCTCTACACACACCTTGGCAACAGAATCGCCATTGGCTAATAAATGTTTAATATATATGGCAGATTTTTACAAAGATACATTCACATAGGAAAGCACAACTAAAAAAAATTATCAGCATTTCCTATGTTAGAACTAATGTGCTGGTAGTGTTTCAATCAGTGTTTCTGTAAAACAACAACAATAATACTATTAAAATACTACTACTAATTAGGGCTGTCAAAAAAAAAATTCTAATTTTGAATATTCGTCGAATTTAAAATAAAAATCCACATTCGAATGCAAAAACGTTGCATTCCAATTTTAGGCGTGCGTTAGGCCGTGGCGCACGAGATGCGATGACGATGTAAGTGTCGTTGCGTTATAATGTTTTTGTTAGCCTATCCAGTTGAAGCCACTAGATGCGGCGCTGCTGCGTTGTTCATTAAAAATATTGCGGAAAAAGAGAACATCAATGTGGAGAAGATCTTGTTTACATCAAAACTGAAATCAAGCCGTTCACACAAAACACATATTTCGCGCATTTTCTAGAGGGACATCTATCACCGTTGCACTCGCATCTCGCACAAAGGAGCTGCATGTTTAGAAAGCCATGTAACTTTAATGCAAGTTTAACTTTGAAAGAAAAACAGACTTTATGGCGGGTTTTTCCGCATCCCACTGCATATCATGATTTTAAATGAAGAATGTACTCTGTGTGATTGGCTTCCTGCCCTTTGTATTAATCTATGCATACATACATACATGATGCTGTTTTGTTTATAGCCGTTTAGGCAACTTAATTAATTACAATTGGTTTATAAACATTATTTTAAACATTATGCACTTTTTTTCACAGATAGTCATGTTATCTTATGCTTTGAATAAGCGTGCATTGGTAATATTTTGCTCGATGCGCCCTCTTGTGGCCTCAGAAGAGAAGCCAAAAGCTTTTCTTCACCCTAACTGAAATAATGCATTTCAAATTTGAATATATTCAAATTTTTATAATATTTAAGTACAAAATTCGAATTTAGTTTTTCAGCCATTTTGACAGCCCTACTACTAATACTATATAACTATACTATGAAAAACAGGTCTAAGGTCAGTATAAGCTGCTCATGAACATTAACTACATTATCTGTGTCGCTCGAATTGATTCGCTCAAATCAAAACATGGATGGAAAAAGTTGAGCATTAGCCATCGAGATCGGAGTTGGAGAATTAGCTCCGCCCACTACCAAAAGAACTGTCCGGCAGTGGCTTCTGATAGCTCTTAAAGACTAAATTCTGAATGAGCGCAGTTATTTTGAAAGCTATGTAAGACTCTGTAAGGACGGAGTGAAACTTTTAAGTGCCCAGTCAGAGATTTCAAGTGCAGGTGAATGAAAAACTTACAGTATACTTCGTTTTTGTACGTGAACGTTAGCGTATGCTTTCAGACAAGTGCGTAGCCTTTCAAAGTATATTCCATTTGATAGCGTGCGTGAACAGGCGGTCGACACATGAGCTCTAGAAAGCTCTACTTTTCTTTAGAAGTTGTAACCAATAAAAATATCTTTGTACTCTTGTAATCTAAAGCTGCAGCTCTCTCATAACCCACTAACACAAGCACTCATCAGTTGTGCTTTTAGTCTGTTGATTGCAAGTTCTCATTTTGTATCTACAATTTTTTTTTTTCCCCCGGCCTATTTTATTTCCCAGTCCCACCCACCTGTGCTTAAGCCTCTGTTTTTATGAAAGTTTTTAATAAATCTGTGGTTTACTTTTGCTGCCTTTTCTTGTTTATGGCCCTAACCTTTTTACACTCTTACTGCACTTTACTTGATACGTTTTCCATCTGATTTTTTTGTTCTGTTTAAAAGGGAGAATAAAGGAAGTCTTAGTCTTTTTAGGGGGTCTGCATTTTGACATCAAATATTTTTTGGACCGTCTGTTGTTGCTGCAGTCTCTGATAATTTGTTGTTGTCCCGTCTCTTTAGTTTGGTTTTCTACTGTGAAACAACAGCCTGGACCAAGGCTGCCACCTTGTGGAACAACTGATTAGTGCAAAACAAATTCAATGCGCATGCACAACCTGCATGTACAAAGTATGCGCGGTTACAAAAATTGGGCGGTGCATACTATTCTGGAGTTGAAATGTGTACTGTACGCCGACCCTCGTGTACACAAACAACGAAGTATACTTTGGGCTTAACTCAAACACTGGAAAGTGAAATCTATCAGTTTAGTAGCCAATGGCTAACATTAGACATTTAGTCGCCTATACTGGAACTTTTTCCGCATATGTGAGTGATTTACTTGCACTGAAGAGGTTTGAGCAGGAACGTGTATTGAGATTTCACGTTGACTTTGAAGCACATATATAGAGGTATCTTTTTCAGCATGAATAAATGTGTGACACCGTCAGAGGGTTCTCTGAAGTCTGTCTGGCCTCCTCGAGGAGGTCCATCTCTGAAGCGTCCCATGCCTGCTCCGCCCCCCCTTCTTTCGGCAGGGCGACCGCCTCCTCGACTCCTCCCACCCATGAAGTCCTCATCTCTAAATCCTGTGGAAAAAGGAAGCGTGTGAGTAACTGGTCCATCATTCTCCCACTCGACTGCAAAGTTGTACCAAAATACTGATCCAGGATTGGCTCTGGGCAATATATCATAGTGCTTAAGATTTGCAAGACAATATTAAGTCTGATCCCAGATCAGTGTTTATAGGCAACTTCAATTTGGGAGGAAATCTTGACTGCAGACCAGCAGGGAGACTCTGCTGACACCATGACTGATGGCAATGAGATGGAGTCCCTGAGAGATCAATGTTCAAAAATTAACTTAAAATATATGAAAAAGCCAAAACATAAATATGCAAGATCGCTGCTGATAAAGTCCTGCGACTCTGTTTTAATGGAATATTCTGGGTTATTTTCAACAAGGTTTCAAGCACTATTTTGACTACTTCCTCAGTTTATAAAAATGACTGAAAAACATTTACTGTAACAGGGTGAATGTCACAAAAATAAAGTAATGTCAATTATGTTTCACCCCAAAATCAATAATATGCAGCTACATTTGCATGTTGAAAAAAGCCAACGACCGTCCATTATGATTTTTCTCCATTACATGAAAAAAACAAAAAACAAATTCTACTTAATTTTATGTACACATCATGGGATTGTGTTTTGAACATATGCTGATTTTATTAACATTATTATTTTTAAATTAATGTGATGAGAATGACTTCCACTACTGCATAACTTCACAGTGCATACTCGGTAATGAAAATATCACAATAATAATGTCAATATTAGCAATAATAATAATTCCATTTATTTACGGTATTGTTATATTTATTAATAATAATTTTTTTTTTGTAATAGAAAAAAATCTTCACTGCCAATGAAGTAATGAAAATCTTGTCCTAAAACTTTTTCATTTTCTTCACATCCCCCTTGCTTACTACGCTTTCACTGAGTATATTTATTGCAAACATGTTTTCTGTTCATTTTTACAAAGAGAGGAATGTCTGTGGTCATATAGCACAGATGTGTCTTCAGACTTTTTGCTAAAATTATTATCTAGAGCCAACACCCCAAGAATTCGGGTTCTTGCCCAATTCACACTTCGCACCTCCTCCAGACTGGTCGTAGTCGTCTCTGGAGTCACGTCCCCCTCCTCTGGCCCCACGTGAGCCACCACGGCCTGAAAGGGACAGGGGCTGTTTAATAATAATAGGGGCAACAATTCAAAGTTGAGATCAGGGTGAAGGAAAGGGCCACCCACTGAACCAATCAGATCATCTGCCAACACTGCTAACAGGAAGACACCTGCTAGACAGGGAAGTTTAGCCTATAGGAAAGCACTCCGTTTGTTAGAGGGGAAGGAAGAGGAGCTAGAAAGGGGATTCTATTGAGGGATGAAAAAACAGAAAAGTACAAAAATAGCTGAAGATGAAATATGTACATGAACAATGACTGTGAGAAGCCAGGCTTAAAGGGATAGTTCACCCCAAAAAATGAAAATTGTATCATCATTCACTCACCCTCAAGTTGTAGGAGTTTCTTTCTTCTGCTAAACATAATTTTGAAGAATGTAGTAACCAAACAAGTTGATGGTCCCCATTGACCTCCATAGTATGGAAAACAAAACATCACTGAAGTCAATGGAGACCAGAAATGATTTGATTACCCACATAGCTGGAACCATTTTCATTTTTGGGTGAACTATCCCTTTAAGAAATGCTTTGTTTGCGTAGTATGAGCAGTGGATTAAATATTTACAGCTATATGCAATATAATCAAGCAGAACAGTTCAGAATAAGAGACAGAAGACACAAAAAGTTGACAAAGAGCACAAACTAATATTGAGCATTGCTTAGGGGTTGGCAGTAGGACCGAAATCTTAGTTATGGCAAATCACAAAGAAATTCGACAAAAACGGTTTATATTAAACAACTATATGGTATTGCAATTTTTGGGGTAATTCAGTCAATTTATTGTTTTACTACATCATATTTTCTCTAAAATAAAATGAACTCGAATTAAGGTCTAATAACGGCTTGAACAAACAACAACCTCAAAACAGGAAATTAACATAACTTGAAAAATGGAGCAATGTACATTGTAAAATACATGATATACACACCATCAAATGAATTGAAGTTGCTTAGCAATCGTGAACATTTACGATTGCAACGAAACTGAAGTGTGAATGTGAGGTAGCAGTCGACTGTTGCCGGGCAGGTTTAAGTGGACTAAATGACGAGCAAAGTCTGGCATGCCTCAGAGAAAAGATGGTCTTTTTCACCTGAAGGTCAAATTTGTCTTTTTATTGAAAAAATAAATAAATAAAAAAAAGATTAACACCTCGAGTTGGAGTCTGTAACTGAATGAATTCTTAATTTACAATCTGACTATTAAATGCAAGTAATTACTTCCAGTAATGTCATGTTAAAGGTCACATATTTTACACCTTTCTGGAGTTTTATTTTAGGTTATGATGTCCTTAAGAATATATATTTGCGATATAAGTACCAAAAACCATCTCAATATATTTTTACAGCTCCTCTCTCAGGAGCTCTGCTGAGAACAGGTCTAATTAATATTCATGAGCCTCTCTTCTGATTGGCCTGTTGTTTTCTGAGTGACGCACGGTCAGGCCAACCAGAGGTAACTAGGTTCATGTATGCCGGAAGTCACAACGGTTCGTGAAAAATCACAGCTACTTTATGCAGGCTGTGTGCATTTTACTGTGGACTGACTGTTTTAAAACTTATATGGTAGTTAAATAGCACCTAGACCTCCGTTATCATGAAAAAAGCCAGGAAATTTCAGTTTTGACAATATGGGACCTTTAAAAAAAACTTCAGAAAACAAAAACTTCATGCCTTCATCTCTGGAAAACCTGATACAACTGTAATGTAAAGAAAATCGGACCGCCCATCCCTAGCACTGCTCATTTCTGAGACTATAAAGACCACAAAATTTGAAAGGAAACAACTTACAACACAAGCAACATATATCAACAGACAAACTACTACTACACGACTAAAATGCGAGTAAACAGCACTAATAGAAGCACAAGATAAAAAAGATTGTGCTTATGAACGACAGTGATATTTTGATATATTGGCACACACACAGTACCTCTGTCGTCTTTCCGGAAGCCGAAGCCTCCGGCGCCACGTTCTTGCTTTCGGCCCTCCGCGATATCCACCCTCAAAGATCGGTCCCCTAGCAGCTGCGGAAGAAGTTCACACTTAACACACAATATATCAAACAGTACACTAGCGTTCAAAAGTTTGCGGTTGGTAAGATTTTGTTAAAGAGTTCTGAATGAAGACCCTTATGCTTGCCTATGCTGCATTTAATATGATTAAAAATACCGTAAAAACAATACTAGTGGGAAATATAATTTAAAATAATTTTTCTATTTTAATATATTTAAAAATGTATCCAGTCTTTAGCATCACATGATCCTTCAGAAAACATAATGTGCTGATTTGGTGCTCAGGAAACATTCAGCATTCATCATTAATGTTGCAAACAGTAGTGCTGCTTCATATTTTTGTGGAGCTTTTGTTTTGATTCTTTGCTGAATAGAAAGTTCTGAAAAAGTTCTGGAAATCTTTTGTAACAATTTAAAAAAATCTTCGTCACTTCTGATCAATTTAATGTATCCTTGCTGAATAAAAGCATTAATTTCCTTAAAAAAATTTTTTTTTTTTAAATCTTATGGACCCCAAACATTTGAACTGCAGTGTATATTTTATTCTACTGTCAAGTTTTTCTACTGTACATGGGTCAAAGACGAAAAAGAGTTTAAGCATAAAAACAATACTGCTTTAAATTGTTGTTTTTCCAAAACATTTTGTAAAAGTTTTCTATTTCATGTATTTGTATTTTTGTTTTTCTGAGTAAGAAATAAATATCATACATTTTCCCCTGATTTACAGAAGACACCCACTAAAATGTCATCCAGTGCAACAATCTTGTCAGGCATATTTACAACAAAAATCAATTTATGACACATTAAAAAACTAATTACTTTCACCCCAAATACTAATTAGTTGTTAAAATGTTTTTTTTTTTTTTTAAATGTGCCACTATCCTAGGTTTTGCCTATTTGTCAGTAAGAATTTTTTACTCATTTAAAACCCAATAAAAATTAATATGCTCACTTATTCTTTTATATATTTTAATATGTACAGGTCAGAATAAGAATGTTGTTTGAATTTTTACATAACTATAAGTGTTACACTGAATGACAATATAACATTTCAACCAAATTTTGACATTTTTATTCTTCAAAAACTTATTTGAAACCTTAAATGTAGACACTTGCATTTAATGTGCTTTCTATGGGCATAAAATCACTTTTGTAAATTTCTTTTGATGCGGACATCTTAACGTCTTTGACCCACATGTATTATGTTTTATGAATATTTCACTTTTATCAGCTATAAGAACAAAGGTTAGTGTATTCCTCGTCAAAATGAAGAGACATAGCCCCATCCATTATCTCTGCCTTAAAATGAATGAATAGAGTGTAATTAAGTGACTTACAGCGCCATCATACGTCAAAGCCTCTTTTAGAGATTCCAAGTCATCAAACTCTACATAACAGAAACCTGAAGCACGAAAACAAACATAGTGGATCATTCAGCAGATGCTTTTATTCACATTGATTTTTAAAACATTCATTCAAGTCATAGGTTTTTAACAGCATGTGGTTTCACGGAGATCAAACCCATGACCTTGGTATTGCTTGAGCTACGGAAAGATAAACTAGCCACACATTTTGAGGTATGATTCATGTCTGCGGCACAAAGTTGAGTGCTTCGGCGATTCCTGAAACCCTGTATGAATAATAAGCAATGTTCCTTATTAATCATGCATTGTGTTTGGAGGAGCAGCCCACCTTTGAACTTGTCTGTCTCTTTGTCTCGCACTAGTCGAACGCTCCTGATGCTAAGGTCTTTGAAGATGGCATCTATGTCTCCTTGCACTGTGTTGAAGGGCAGGTTGCCGACGTACGCCGTGTAGGGCGGCTCTGTGGGAAGGTCCTTCTGCTTTCGGGGTCCGCCTGGGCCACCGCCGCCGCCGCCTCGGGGTCTGCGGCCCAAAAACAAACAACCTGATCAGCTCTACACCTCAACACGCAGGTAAAAGATTGATCTAGACGTGGGATTCCAGCAGGACTCAAACACAGCAAATAAAAGACGCATACTGACTAATAACGCCCACCATGACCACTCGGCTGGTTAACAGATGCGTGTCTGTGCTTTCGAACATCTACCATGCATCTCACCAGTTGATCATTCTCACTTCTGGTGGTTTTGCGTCATACGTAACATCCCGAAAAAGCCTCACAAACACAATAGGCATGAGAGTCATGGCTGAGCCGCAGTGATGGATAGAAGGACGCACTGGGAGTTTTCCCTTCTGAGTGTCTGAATCAGACGTGTGCTATATTAAGTGAGCTCACATTCATCTGTGGTACAAAAACTTTGCTTCTGATCAAGCGGCAACCTTCCGGTCTCTCTCTTGAAACAAACACGGAAGTGACTTAAACTGCAATTCATCGACTGGCCGCTAGGGGCTGG